CCTGGTCAATTTCGATTAATAACAATGTTAACTCCGGAGTATTCGATTTCCGTCCAGAACTGGCTCACTCGTACTCACGTTGGCACTCATTACTGAAGCATTTAGCTGTCAATTAGTGAAAACTGAATGCGGTCTACAAAGTAACAGGTTTAACGGCATGGTTTCTTCGGAGAAAAATAATTTCAATGGTATGCCTTGTCTTGTTCAATCTCATCCACTGCCTCTTTGTTCTTTTTAATACTATTTTGTCGTATCCGAAAAGAACGGAACGAACCAAACACACCTAAATGAGTAAAACATCATGAAAAACACCAGCTCACGTTTAATTTTATAGGCTTGGTTCACCAATTAACATTTATACGATCACTTGTGTCATCTGTAACTTCTCGAATCAGTCAACGAACGACTTTAGATGAACGTCCGAGAAGTCTAACTTTATCTCCTTTAGCACTTACAGCTGTTCAGCTTACTCTACTTTCATGGCGGGCACAAAACGTCATATCATTGAAAGAGGCTGTCTACTTTTATTTGCTATTCCTTGCTTCAGTTTATGTTACTTGATGTGATAATTCAAAGGAACTCGTTTGTTAGTTCTCGCTGTTAGTTCGAGATCTCGCTTCATTTCGTCTCCCGAAATAATTGTCAGCGATGCCACATGAGATTTACCGAAGCAGAAGTTGAGAGACGAGAGGCTTAAATCGCACATGTTTAAAATTGCGTACTTCGCTGCCGAAGTTTTTTCACTACAACTTTGGGCCGCTTTAATCTAGTTTTTAAGTGGTTTGATCATTTGCAAATTTTCTTGGATGACATAATTACGCGGGAGAGCTTTCTTCAATTCTTAGGCGCCCGACCCAAATCCATGAACGAGGAATAAGAAAACGAAACACTGCTTTCTTATTTGAACTTTCTCAAACATTTCGTAACAATGGGGACCTTTAGACAACTATAGAGTACCTGGGCTGCATATATATACAAGCGTGCACATCTATATATATATATATATATATATATATATATATATATATTTATTTATTTATTTATTTATTTAGAAATGCAACGAGAAGAGAGCGAGCTGGAGAACTATGTTAGCAGATATTGAATAGGTGCGGTCTAACGTGCTCAGTTTACCAGGCTTTTTTTTGTTGTTTTATGCTCTGTTTGCTCTGAACCATTTCGAACTAGTAGCCTATGAAAAAAAACATGGTGCGCAAGCCATTTTCGCTTTCATTTTCAGACAAATGCACTACACGTTCGAAGTAAGTTTCTTTCTTCCTACTTAACATTGCTGTTATTGATAAAACTTCTCTCACCTCGAGAACCGTTTGAAAAGAAGGAAAACAGGAGAGTTTCTACTACGGTTTGATAGCTAGAGAAATGAGAGGGATTGCTTCGCTGTGAATTTTCATCACCGTTTAGAGAATAAAAAATTCAGCTTAATGCAAAAATTTTTTCTGATAGCTATTTAGGCAGCACCCGTTTAAGTTTCAGACAGTGCATTTCATCTGCTTAAATCATGAACATATTCCAATACGCTTGTGATGAGAGTACGATGATTAACCTAAGAAGCATAAAAAAGAGCAAATGAAAGAATGCAGATGGCAGATTGGTCCTATAAAATGCTGAACTGCCGGCCAGACTTTTGGCACGTCGTATAAATCCTTGATTGTCTTAGTTACATCCGATTCTTGTTTAAAAACTGTATTCTTCATCTACCACGTATAGATTCATCAACATACCCGTGCTTCACAGTAATTAAAGCCTTTTCCGGCTTTTTTGCCGTGTGGGCTTTTTTAATCCAGAGATTCATATTTTCGTAAATCTATATTGAACTCGGTCGTTAGATCGATTCCAACGTCATATGGATCACTGCTCGGAAGCCCATCCTTGGCGTACTGAATTCCTTTTCAACGCGAGTTCTATAAAATTCGTTGACTTCACTCCCTCGTCAAACATCACTTGCGTGTCATGTGTCTAACAATGTTTTCACCAACGAATAGAGTGTTTACTAGATGACATATTGGTGAGTCAGTGAGCAACAGAAATTGTGTCCATGTGAGTACTTTACACCAGTAAAGGTGGAAGATAATCACACAGAATTGATTTTTTTTGGTTTGCATTGTTCATTTATGTAGAGGGGCACGGGGAATGGTATTTGCACTGAGATTCGCAATGAGATTGCTTGCAACAAAATTGTGTTTACGCATTCAATAGCACATATTAAGTTAAACCCTCATGTTTGAACGATAACAAACGACAGCTCCGTCTAGGGACTGTCCAACTAGTGATCCAATTCGAAGCTATAGCTTACTCATGAATCTTGAACAGAGTGAAGCAGTACAAGGTTTTCTAATGATTTTAGCCGTAATTCACTTTATGGCGCCTACCAACATGCCTCCATTTCGCGGGCAGTCTACTGATTCTGTGTATCTGTAGCGATGCTAGCATTTTTTCCCTAATCTATTGGCTGGCATTAGCCACAGTCAACGATATCAGCTGTATGAAGTGGTACTTACCAAGCTGTACGCTGGCTCTTAAAAAAATTGAAAAACACGAATCGCGACGGTAGTCGTGCTCGTGATTAATCGTTCGGCGTTTGCTTTTGTGATTTCGAAAAGTCTGGAATGTTCGAAACGAGACACATAGCATCTCTCCTAGCTCACTCCCTCATTCACTCGTTCATCGTTTTTTTTTAAACTGCAAATATTGCGATTATTTGTGCAAAAATTGCAAATTTTGTGGACACGCACAAGTTGCAAAGGTAGTTCAATCTTTGAATGAAGCTGTCTGTTCCGGCAGTCTAATTTGGAAAGATTTCGTAGTCCTCCAAACTTCACTAGTACGTGCATCAGCATTCATCTTCGTCGTAATCACGTTCGAGGTTTCAACCTTTATTTAGCGCTTTTTCTTTTTCCTTTTCTTTTGGAAGCAGCGTGCGATGTGAAATGCAACAATAGAGTACTAAGATATGAACAAAACTCGGAGTCTCAGTTCGTAACGTGAATGTGAATGATTAATTCGAATCGCCGGTTCGAAACCCAATTGAGGCTCCGAGTTCTGTTCATACCTCAGCTTTGCTATGACTGTATTCAACATCTAATATTATTTGAAAAACTCTATCGATGAAAATGATTTAGTAAAATTCTCACTGAGCATTTTGATGAATCGGCTGTTTAATTCACGTGTAAACCACATTTAGAGCACGTTTGGATGGGGAAGTATTGATGACCAACAACCGTTCAGAAAGAGAGGGTTCGAAGACCAAGCACCAAGAATTCCAAAGTTCATCTGCTTTTTCAGTTATTCCAAAACGAGCTACTGAAAGAACAAATGCTACCCATAATAAAGAGTAGGGTGAGGTAAATCATTTGCAATCGTGACATGAGATCACTACTGAGATGAGGTGAGGAATAACAAACAGCCCTTCGCGAAAACCATCTTGACTGTTATTTGACCCAATATTTAGCCAATCTGGTTATTTTGTATTTATAGTGGGTTAAAACTGATGGAAAATAGTGAAATGTTGTAGAAGATATTTTCACAATTTGTAAAGCGATTGGTGTGTTGAGTGGACTGAAGTAAAACTGCTGAATAGGTTGAACCAGTCCATCACAAAAGCTATAGGCAAAGTTTTTCCTTCTTTGCAAACAGCCAACATCACGATTTGATACTTTTATAGTAATCCATTGTGCATAAGCTATAGAAGGAATAATGTTCCTAAATTCGCAGAGCCTTGTCGGATTTAAGGTGTGCGCTTTCTGTGGCTATGAAACTGAAGAATTTGTCTTTGAAAGACTTTATCCTTTAACAAGTTGGTATTGAGAAAATACGGTTAAAATTTTGAAAAGAAAAAGATGCTACAGTTTTGCTTAAGAAGTAGTTTTCAGTGTGGTTAATATTTCTTATAAAACTTAGATGAATGGCATAAAGGTTTTACGTCACAAAGGTGCTAAAGTATCCATTCAATTTTTTTACCATGAAAACTCTTTTCAAGCTATAACTAATCCATTTTTGGACTAATCGAGTTAAATTGACACATGTGTTCTTACAAAAGGTTTTTAGTGGCATTTTTAGGGACGTCATAAACAATGCTACATCGTTTCAGCAGTCCACATGTTTAGCACGAAAATGGTGTCCTTTGCTTTTATTTGAAGTAAAAGTGGTTCCAAGTATGCCATGCTCAAGATCCTTTCCTTCTTTAGAAACACAGAAACACAGAACAAGAAGTTCTGAAGCGATTTGCAATGTTGAGAAGCACGGGACAAATTTAATTCATTCACCACATCCAAAGAAACACTGCCCCTCTATCGCGTTCGTGTGTGTGTGTGTGTGTGTGTGTGTATGTGTGTGTGTGTGTGTGTATGTGTGTGTGTGTGTGTGTATGTGTGTGTGTGTGTGTGTGTGTGTGTGTGTGTGTATCTGCATGTGCCTGTGCATGTGCATGTGCATGTGCATGTTCATGTGCACGTATGTACATATGTGTGCGTCTGCTTGTGCATGTGTATATTATATCACATATTTATACATGCCCTCACCACATGCTTACACGGTGCTCTCCATCGTACTCACAAGAATTCTTTCGTCACTGCGTCGTCGCTCCATCGACACACCATAAGCGCCTCCTACCCGACTCCATCCATTCAATATTATGACTCTAAGCATGTTGTGTTCGACTCGTTCGGTTCTATACATCGCTTCCACGTGTCCATAATATGACACCTTTCCAAGTATAAGCCATACTTCCAGCTCTAATGTCCGCATAATCTGGTACGTCGCAGTCGGCCGCAAGTCACCAGCATACGACTGTCTTTTCTGCCGTCCTCACATCACAATTCGTGCTCATCATTTGAAAACCCGTTGTCGCATGATTACGATTACTATTCCGACCGACGTTCAACGAAACACATTCCGTCTCAATATTGTCATTGACCTGTAGCAGAGTGATTTACAGCTCTTATGCGTAACCATTGACTATTTCACTGGCTATCCTGCCTGGACAGCGAAAAACGCGCGCGCAACAGCTGCACACGGAATTAGCGCTTGAAGAGCAAATTCCCTTGCCGTTGAGGCCAAATAAAATGCGCAAAGCGACTGCCGTCGCACTATCACCTTCGGTAGCAAATCTGTTGGCAACTCAGCGGATGATCGATCTCGAGAGACCACTTGTGAAGTCGAAGAAGTATCCGTTTTTTAAGACACCACGCATTGGGTCTAGACGCATTCGAAATCGGCTCGTTCAGAAACAGGTAATGACGTCGTCTCACGTTGCATAATTTTCTCATTATGCTGTGAAAGGTTATGTAAATTTAGGGAATATGTAACATAAGCCTCAAGAATGTGCCGAAACAGCGCCGAAAATACTTCAGGTGATTTATGTTGTTCCAAGGAATTAGATTTACTTTACAATGAACAGCATAATTGCAAATAACCGGAAGAAATATCTTCCTATGGTTAATGCTTTTTCTTGCTTTTATCAGCCAAAAAACATGGGTGAGGCCGAGAGCCTGCGTTCGCTTAATAGATCTATTTGATAGAAGAACATGTCTAGTCGAATTCAATGACGATAAGCTCTTCCTCATAAAAACAATCAATTCCCTGTCTAATCTTCGTTGCCACATCTATTAAGGTATAGCAAATAGGGGAGTCTGTTGATTGATGTTTGATACTTAACTCAAAAATACCGACCACATTTGCATAACGCAACTGATTAAGAGTATTCTAGTGATATCTTTACAACAGTAATCGAGATGAAATGGCGTTGGTGTTTACTGTATTTTTCGTTGACGTTTCTTATTTCGTGGGCATTCTTCGCTTCACTTTACTACTCGATTGGAAAACATCACGGTGATGTGGATAACCGACATAATCTCAGCTGGATACCTTGTATTGTTAATGTACACTCTGAAATCAACGCCTTCTTATTCTCGTTTACCACTCAGACCACCATTGGTGAGTACAAGTTATGTGTACCAACATTTTTTTAACTTCTCTATGTAGAATACGTAATACCTGACTATTGAAGTTTTAAAGCAATAATGTAATAGATGAAAAAAGTTTGAATGTTTGAATGGGATCGAAAAACCTGAAAGTCAATCGAAATTAACCACTTCCATTTTCAGGCTACGGTTTTCGGTGAGTATGTGTTTATAATCAGCTTATTCCTGTTGTTATTTATTATCCTGCTTTTACTACTTCGATTTTGGTGAGTGGTGATCGCCGACTTACTTTTAAATGTTGGGGAACGAACGCGCTATTATCCTTTCTTGGCAGTTACGCGTTCACCACCACACCATTGTGATTGTAACTATAGCCTCAGCATAACTGGGTTCAATACCAATTTGGGCTCCCCAGATCAGTCCCGTTGACGGGTGACTGCTGATGGCAATGGTAAATAGAAAACTAGCTAAGACACGAGGAACGAGGGACCCGCTTGGCGTGGTGGTGAACGCATTAGCCCCCGAAAAGAGTAATAGCGCGTTTGTTCGCCACCGCACACACCTGCGGTCCGGAGTTTTCTATAGCAAATATCTTAACACCATCGTGATTGTATTTCACATGACCAAATATGCACATACGGTAGCAATTTTTATTCTATCTCCATCTATCTATCTTCGGATTTTTTATGTCAATCGTATTTTTTTTCCTTTCCTACGATAAAAAAAAATTAGGGCTTGTTCGCGATTAACAGGACCGCTTGCTATCAGGCATGCCATCTTCAGTTTAACTGTAAAAAAATTGCTGTTTTCTGGAATGTATTGCGCCTTTTACAAAAGTACAGTAGAATTAAACGAGCGCTTATAATTACACATACATATTTAATTATTTCCAGATAGTACGCTTTCTTGCAGTGCTAAGTTCTCACTATTAAAAGGTTCTTCGGCTAGTTTCATTTGTGCCTGTTGAAACTGGATCAGTTGGCCGAGATATTTTCAAAAGCTTGTTAACATCAACAACACTGACAATAGTTAGACAATAGACAATAGTTAGCATAAATCTGTTCGCTTGTCATGAAACAACTTGAAGTCCAGTGGTGGTGACCTCTACGCCTTTAGACAGCGAACTGGTGCAAAACCAACTCGATTATATCTCTTTTCTCGATGTTACAGTTCAACAATAATTTAGCAGTACTGGCATGTTAAAAGAGAATAAACATTTGTTTTAAACGACTCCAACTAATTCCGCTTCAGGAATGTAAACGCGCTAAATACATCATTGCGAAGAAAGGAAAATTGCTCTCCATTTGAACACTACAACTGTTAGAAAATCAGTGTGACATTTCGTATATTAGTGAATTATTCTCAAGAATGGACTTTATGGGAAAACATGGAAGAATGGGCTCTAAACACTTTTTGTAGTTTTTTTATTAGCCGTGTAGCTGTGGTTAAAGGTCGATCGACCCGCAACAGATTTGGTCGTAGGGATCGATCGCGTGCCATGAGTTGACCACATCTCGGAAAATTGAGACCAAATTGTCTGAGAGGTAAAAAAAACGGCTCTTGTAAATCGGTGGGCCACCGCAAGCCATTGTAAATGGCTAATGTGCATTCGGTCAGCTCTAATGATACTTAGTAAAGACGAATACATGGCGCTTCCCTTAGGGGTTGATCCATGCCGAGATCTTTATCCTTCGTCTATTGTCTATAGTACGAACTGTACAATACAGCACAGTGCAGTATGGGAACCGTATGAACACTGCAAGTACACATTTTCAAAGGAAAATATTCATATGTTCCAATGGCCTTCTTTCAATCGTCAGTTAAACCATCTTTGAAGAATTAATCCTTCGAAGCAAAATGCTTGCTTTATTACCATTAGGTAAATGTATCCAGGGCGTTTTTTGACCTTTTATTTATATCAAATCACTCATATTCGTTTGCGACAGTACTTGTCGTATTTGCTCCAGCTGGAATAAAATTTTCATTCTAAATTATGGATATGTTTCTTATTGATATGTGGGAGGGAGTACAGTTTAGTGTGAGTACACCTTATAGGTTGCCGAGCACACAAGTACTATTTGAGATTTCTTCCTGACATAGTGGCACTTTAACAGCGCAATTCTCCGCCTAGCACACTGCTATGGAGGCAGTGTCTAAAACCTTTTAGGGGGTCCATGTATACAGACATTTCTTGGTGAAATCAAAGTAAATGGTTTCCACTATAATTAACGTTTATAGCCTTGCTTCAGCCGTCAATACGCTGGAAAAGACACCATAAAGGAGAAAAAGTGGTTTTTAACATGATGCACTTGGAGCAAGTTTTTGCCTAAGGAATATTAATAATCCTGCTAATACATTTGCATGTAATAGTAGACTTTGAAAGGCTAATTTAAATCTGACCCCACAGAGCTGCTTCAATTTTAACTATGCTCATACGGTGGAGACGGGGTTTTGAGTTCCGGCACAGTTTATTTGATCTCCTCTAAAGCATTCGGGAAAGAACACATTGGCTAAACTGGTATAGTCTACGTCCGTGTAAAGGAGCAACTGATCGGTTAATTAAAAGTTAAACAAAATATCTCATTAGACACGCATAGCACACAGAAACATAGCGGAGATTTTCAAGTAAAAGTCACTATCTTTGCACAGAAAATGAAAACTTTTGTGCGCAGAACTCTCGAAGCTTTTTGTGTAAATTCCATAAACCCATAAACGAACTGCAAGGATGAATGCCTCGTTATCACTGCGAGATCTCGCACAATATCTAAGACTGATGTTTTAAAGTGAGAAAGATGCACTACCCATACATGTGAACGCTCTGCGGTTGGTCTCCACGTGAATACTTAATGCAAGACTCAAACAGAGCGGTGAGTGTGTGAAGAAGCTATTTCGTTTTTAATGCGATTGAAATCTAGGCTTCGTGGTTTCTCTGTTAGGGTTATGTAGGCGTTTGTCTTGGTAGACTGCAGTCAACTTGACCTTGCTAGGCTCTGAAGAAGGTGACATCCGCCGATACGTCAGCTTTCGATGTGAGTGGAGAATAAAGTAGCAACGTTGAGTGTGCTTATCAAGAAAGCAGCGAATTATTTAACTATTTAGCCTTTCTTTTGTTAGATTTCTGTACACAGACACAAGTGAAGCGCAATATGCATAAAATACTACCCATTTTCAAACCTTGCACAGCGATTTTTTCTTAGGTATCCAACCGATCAATGCCCGTTGACAATCATTACGATGTGCGTACAGTTTATGTGGGGAGTAATGACACAGGTTAGTACTTTCGAGGATTATTCGATAATAAGTGATGAAATTTTGATGCTGTATTAGGACAAAATTTTTTATATCCACTGTATCCTTGATCGTTTTCTGTCATTGAACAAAAGCCGACCAAGTAAAGACGCCTTTCATTGCTGTTCCCCTCAAGCATTTCTAGCGAAATCCATCCGTTTTAGGTAATCAAATGATGTCAATGGTCTTATACTCAGATTCTTAAAACAAGTTCAACGTTACTCCAGTTTTGGCCTATCTTTCAGTAGTCTTTAGACCTCATTACGTTTCCATCTCAGCTTTGGTTTTGCAAAAGTAATACTTGTTTGCCGTCAGAAATGATGTTCGAAACACTGCCTGTTCTCTTTCTAACAGCTGGATCTTCAAGTAATTTCTCATCTTGGGTGCGTATTGTTCAAAAAGTTATAAATTATACTCATAAGAACAATGGAGGCGAAAATGGAGGAAATTCCTTACCCTGCACTTGGTACCTTTTTCCTCATGAGTGTAGGATATTATGAAATCACCACGCGTTTATTTCCCTCTCGATTAGTTAAGACATGACCTGTGGGTCATACTCCACGGTATCGCCGGCAAGAGAAATAAACCGCACACATTGTGTTCATCCCAATCAGCTCAGACGACTCACCCGATCATCTTGTTCTTGTGATAACCTTCATGAAATTTAAGCTGCAAAACAATTTTTCTCTGAATAATGTTGGCGTAGACATTATATGTCATTAATTAAATGGAAGCAGTGAAGTCTCTGATCGTCCTCGTCTATTCCGCTTTCTTACATCCCATTGTTTTTCCTAAACAAGTGGAGTTAAAATACTTCGGCGATATTTTAATGTTTTATCACTCCGACGAAATCTCCTTAGTGCATCAATAATGGATGACAATACTCAGGTTGAGGTCATCTAGTGCTCACAAAGAAGTCGAATTTACTTTTTTGGTAGGTTCACAGTGTCCTAAAACTACTTCTATATCGAATGCTTTCACACGAACTCACTACATGACACTACTTTTGACTGACTGCTTTCGTTGTCTTCGCTTCCACAAGAAAATATGTTTCAAACGGAAGGGACCACTGTTAATATCGTTAGAGAGCTCTTTAAGAGACCAGCTAAATACGTATACAATAAGACGACCTGTATTCCATTCACCGCATAATTTTCTACCCTGAGTTTTGATTCATATTTGTATTCACCTCTTCCGATCCAAGGAAATTAACGATATACTTGCCTCGTTCCATTTTCAGCTCTTCATGTGCTATCAAGTTGCGAAGGGATTCTGTTACATTCCTTTTTTACCTCTGTTTACAACCGTTTTCCAACCCTCTGCAAAAGCAGCGAGGAGATCCAACTTTTGCGGTAATTGCTGTGATTCTGACGGAATTCTTCAGTTTTCAGACAATAACCATAAGCCGAAAGCCGGCCACATTTCGTGGTGAAAGCTAAGTGTGTCGATGAATAGTCTGCAATTTCACTCGGTCTTACATATGGATCATACCTTTTCTAGAAATATGTTTCTTCGCCATTCCAGTGCAATGCAGTTTTCTCGTGAACAGTATCCGGAATTCAACCAGCTTTATAAAATTCCACACAACTTTTCCTGCACGTGTTCACATATGTTAATCACAAAAAATGAGTCTGCCACCGCTCTATCAAAACGGCAGTCCACGGATCCATTGGTTTCGTTGCTGAATCATGAGTTCGCATTTAGTATCTGTGCAACTTAATCCCACTATCGAGAACAGACACCTTCTCCAAAGCAGTGCTATTCATCCATGATTCGAAGATGTGTGTGGTATCAGACGGGCCAGTGTTTTTTGTTATTCAGGAAAAAATTTGGCATATAAGTAGAGCGGCATCATATGATATTTAATAAACATTTACTAGACATTTTTAGGAGCGCATTCCGTAAAATTGTCAGCCACTTGAAGCAGTTAGGAGGATTATTTTGTGCGACGCCGCTTTCTGAAAAAGTAACATAGAAGGCTGCAAGAAACGATGAAATAAGGCGAGAGCGTGCATGTTAATGAAACGGTTCCTAATATCTGCAAAATTTTCCCATTAAGAGAAAAAGTGAAAGTCGAGCAATAACCTAACTGATCTTCTTTGTCTAATGAGAGCACCCGTTACCTCTGCCGTTATTATTGCAGACCTTAATGGCTGGTATCATATTCTCCAAGCTCGCACGTCCAATCAAGCGTGCTGCTACACTCATCTTCTCGAAAAACGCTGTAAGTCTTGGTCTGCCAGTGCTCGGAGTATGAAATTCATTTAATGATGTAGGCCTAATCTTCATTTCTTGGTGAAAGAGAACTAACGACATTGTCATTATATTGCAGGTGATCTGCATGCGGGATGGCAAGTTGTGTCTTCTTTTCCGAGTTGGCGACATGAGAAAGAGTAGCCTTGCAGAAGCTCATGTTCGCCTACAGGTAGATATTGCTACGCTTGGTTTCAAATTCGGTCTTAAATCATGTTCCTTTTCTAGCTTACTTTGATGTTTGACGGAAATATGAGCATATAGCTTTAAGCCTTGTCCACAAAATCTTTATCAGAGAGAATCCGTCTTCTTTATATTTGGATAATAATTCGTCATTAAGCTTTGACATAACACACTTTATAGTTCGATCCAACGGAGTGAGGCTCCGATACGCAAGCGAAAAAAGACACATTAAATATCAATTTCTTGTTGAACGAAGTTTCATCACTGAAACCGTGCCTGAAAATGTTATAGATATTCGATAAGCTCGATAGCTAAGTTCATCAAGCCTACATGGAAAAAATCTCGCTCCTATTCAGTCAAATTTCATAACCGAGTAGAAAGCAGAAGCCTGAAAAGAAATTTCTATGTGATGAATTCTAAAATGTGCACCTGTCAAGTAACCCATAGTTATCTTTATATAGTTGCTTTTCTAGATGATCAAACGTTGTGTAACATACGAAGGCGAACTTCTCCCATTTCACCAGTTCGATATGGATGTCGGGTGAGGTTACAAGCCTGGCCATCATTATATGACTGTAGACAGGCCTCTATGTGAAATCACCATCTCTGAGGGTTTTTTAAACACTCCCTCGAGTAAAAATTTTCCACGTTTGTTTAAAATTTGTCGACACTCCTTAGAATCATCGTAGAAACATGCTAGATCTCGGTGATACTCTGCAGTATACCTAAATTACAGCTATGACCGAGGTTTGGATAGAATCTTTGTGATCTGGCCAATAACCATTTGTCATGAGATAGATGAGATGAGCCCTCTTTACGACGTTGGAGAAGCAGACTTGAGAAGTGCCAAGTTTGAAATCATTGGCAAGTGACTAATTCACTTTCCTACCGGAAATTCCATATGTCTTCGTTAAAGCTTAGGTTTCTTTGGAATATTTCGTATTGCTTTTTTACCTGGTATTTTTTTTCTTCAGCAATTCTCGAAGGAGTCGTTGAAAGTGTAGGATCGACCACTCAAGCCAGGACAAGTTATCTACCCAGTGAAATCTTATGGGGAAAACGGTGGGTTTTCATAACGCACTTATTCAACCCGTACCCTCGTCGTCACAGTTCTATGTATTCGAGCAATTTTTGTCAACATTCGAAAAAATAGCTAAAACAACCCATCCGAAGCGCAGAATAAAAATCAAGAATGGTGTCTCTTTCGTTCCTCTTCTTCTCTTTTGGGTGTCGATTGCGCTGACTTTGCATGCAACACAACAAAAAATTGGGTTAAAAGGGGGAAATGTTTTGGAAAAAGTGAAAAAAATATTTTTTTGAGCGATATAAAATATCCATAGTCTTCTGAACTCAAATGCCTGAATTTAGTCGCACTGCCTACAACCATCATCTAGTTCATTTATGCCGGTAGAACATGTCGGTGTCACTAACTTCTCAAAGCGTAAAATTTCGGAATGCTTACAGACACGGAATAATAAAGATAGTCATTTATGCTACACTTTATTGAAACTTTACAGATTTGAGAAGCTAGTCCACTACAAAATGGAAAACGGTCAGTACAACATAGACTTCTGCAAATTTCACAATGTTTATTCTGTGAAAACTCCCAGTTGCAGTGCAAAGGAATTGGACGAGTTACGAGTGAGTTGAGCAATTTTTTATTCATAAAATATCTAAAACGTAGTATAGAAACTTTTCAGCAATTAAAATGGCCCGTTACTTAATTAAATCAGCTCGGCTTCAATCAATTTTCTTATATTTTACTACAAATCCGATGTTTCGCTACACGTAAATCATTTCCGGCTGCGAATGCACTTGGCTGACGAGAACCACTAAGGCGTTCATGCATCTCTTATAATGTCATCCTAGCACAAATATTATTGATGAAGTCCAGCACACGATCATTCCAGTCTATCCGTCTTGAGAACCTCATATCAATGACATTCCCATCTGTCCCTGACTATATATTCTTCTGCACCTCGTGGAGTCCAGCAAAATATTGTCGGTCGTGGATGTGTTACAGAAGACGTAGTTAGGCATTCCGTGGTTAGTGCGAGGAATTGTCGTGGTGAATCAAGAACCGATGTCTCTGCACAGCACAACGATGGAAGGACCACTGAGTTGGAAAGGTGAGCACAGAGTCATAGCTCCGCTAATTGGTCGGTGGTTTCTTTGAGTACATCGAACGTGGCCCATACTTTTCTTCTTCTGTGTAATTTCTATTTCGTGTTGCTCGCCGTGTTTCTTGAGCGCCTAGGAAGTCAGAGAACCAGCCATTTCGATTTGTTTGCCTTCACGCCTCAAATTTTTTCATTCATGGTTTTTTTTCCCGATCTATGAGAATTTCAAACCTTCCATTCATTTCGCTAAGTTCTTTAAGATCGTCTCTGCTTCAGTCACTCTTCTTAAAAAAGCAACGATGTTTTAAAGTGAGTGAAAATTTAACATGGATTTGCCGACAATGTGTACGCCGTTCATTACCCAATCGAGAGACCACATTAACAAATGCAATACGGTGAGCTTTGACCAAGTGACATCACCCCCTGTACAAATGATAAGGAATCGGAGGAAAAAAGTTATATTTTCGTAGTGTTTAGCGACAACATTTGGCTAGAGACCATATGTAGAACTGGTCTACTTCATCACTGACAACAGCTAATAAAACGACGTTGCTTTCCACGCCATCGAATGCCTTTTTATAGTCGAAAGAAGTTAGGCGAGAAAGTAACTTGTAAGCGACAGACTTCTATGAGCTTTCTGATGGTCTGAGTACTGTGCATGCTGCAAAACCAGCTACGGAATATTTGTTATTTAACTGACTGTGTTCCATCCAAAGTTCTTAATATGAGCCAAAGGATTATCATTGTAAAGTACTTGTGGAGTACAAGCAGCGAGCAAAGAAGCCATTAGCTCTGAAGATTACTTCGATCGACTTTCTTAGACAGGATTACTGTGAAAGATCCTCCAGCAATCTGGGATTGCTTCCTTTTGAAAGCAATTTGTCGTATTGCTTGCAAGATTTGTGGCATCTATTCCAAAAGTCGGCTATAACATTAGTCGGGCCTAGAGCTGCGCCTGTCCTCATGCTCTTTAACATTATTCGAATTTCGGAGAAAAGATTATTCGATTACTTTCCTACAGCGCAAAAGGTCGCTGTTGAATCTTTCCGTTATTGAATCAATGTCATGGAAAACCATGCAATACATGGCATCGATCCTTCTCTTCGTTCATCAAAGTCGATAGCAGAACATAATATTCGCACGGCTCACGATAGCGTCTCTTTAAATAGGTTCATTTTCGAGCTGCCTTCGAAAGTTTCTCTGTGCCTGTATCGATATAAGTTCTCCTGATACTCGGCCACTGAAATCTATTATTAATCGTTTTAGATGTGCTTGCATGTTGATAAGTTCTAGCTGTTTCTCAAACAACTCCTTAGTAAAGGTAGAAATGCGACCCGTAGTTATTGTTCGAGAAACTAATGCGTCTTCCTAATGACTTTTGAATCTTTTGATTATCAAGTAGTACTCCGTGGTCTGGTCTTCATTAGCTTTTCAGTCTGACATGGATAGGCTTCCCTTCAAGATACTGTGGTCATATATGATATGATTTTTTCTTTTTGGTTGATAACAAAGGTTATTTTTTTTACATTAAAGCAGAATGCTTACAACGATGCTTAAATATGAGCGGAATCCGGAACCAAAGGTGGGCTTCGAACCCGCAGTCACCCTTGCAGAAACACATGTGCAATTCACCGCAGCAACCTAGGCCCTCTGCCTTTCTCTCAGCTGCGTTTTTACTCTCTCAGTACTATTAGCAACCAGCTTCTGTCTAACTTGGTCCAACGCTGATTTGTGCTCCCCAGATCATTGCCGTTAACGTGTGACTGTTACAACACCGATAGAGGCTGAGAGAAAGGCTACTAAGAGGCTCGATTGGTGTGGTGAATATCACGTGATTCCACAGTAAGGGTAATCGCTGGTTCAAATCTCAATTGAGGTTCTAAGTTTTGCTCATATCTCATCATCGCTATGGAATCATTAATGTTCAAGTGGAATTTTGTTTTGACGCCCACCAATATTGTCAACTGTTCGCGTTTCTGCAACTCGGTGTGGTCAAAAAATGCATTAAACAATACCAATCACTGAATCCGTACACTTTACGTGTCATTCAAGATATTCGATCGTTATTCAAAACACCAAGGAACAATGACATCAAAATTGCGATGTGCACATAACCAGTAAGCATCCGGATTAGTATGGCAGAGGTTCTAAAAAAACATACAGTAAAGATTCACAACGATATGTGTCGTATTGGATACGACTAAACCTACCTTTCATTACAAAGTGTGTACGTAACACAATGTTTGTTTAGAAAAGTTAAGCTCGAAAAAATCAACGTGGAATAGGTTACTAAAGAGTTAAGAGAATAGGCTAACAGTACCCGTTAGAGTATATTATATAATTTTCTGACAGTTGAGACGGTGGCTTCATCAATTCGGGAACGGTTTATATGAGCTCTTCCAAAGCGCGCGAGAACGAAAACATTGGCGAATCCGAAATCCACTGTGCGCCCGTATAAAGGGACACTTAGTAAGTAAACCTAAGGTTAAACCAAATACTCCAATAGGCACGCATAAGAGACAGAGACACAACAGTGAAGATTTGAAGTAAGAGATACCATCCTCGCACAGAAATCGAAAACTTCCGTTCGAAAAACTCTCGAACCATTCTGGATAATTTCGAAAAATCCAAAAATATATCTTATGGAGGAATGCTTTGTTATCACACGTGATCTCACACAATATCTAAAACTGATATTTCAATGTAAAAGCCGCACGTTACTCACCGCTATGAATTCTGTGCCGTTGGTTTCCACGTGAAATGCTCAGTAGAAGACTCATGCAAGTCGGTGAGTGTTCGAACAAGCTATTTTCTTTTGAATACAACTGAAATCCTGGTTTCGTTACCTTTCTGTTGCGGGTTACATAGGTGTTCGGCTGACCATATTGCAGTTTTCAAACCTACCATCATTTCACCTCGATAGTAAAATAACCAATATGTTTCTAAATTGTTGAACCTACACGAGGTTGACAAAGATATTTATTTCGGCTAACGTTTCCACGTATTCATCTTCATCAGAGTCAATGATCGGTGGTCGATGCTCCACAGTTGTTGGTTATTTCGACGTGGCGTCTTCGTAGCCGTACCGAGACGGATCTTCTTCAGTGAACACCACAAGAATGAGGCATACTCACCCAACAGCGCTAAAAAAATTGCGGACTGAACTAGCTGACTAAATTGAAACTGAAAATCGTTTTGCTATTCGCTTTGTGCTAGCTAACATGATACCGACTGCTGCAAGGTGTATTATCCGTTGGAAAACAAACTATTATCAACGGATAACAATATCAACAACAATCGCCCTGTATAAAAGAGCGCTGCAGTGTGAGCATGCCTCATTCGTGCGGCGTTCACTGAAGTAGATCGGTCTCGGTGCGATTACGAGGACGCTTCATCGAGATAACGAGCAACTGTGGACCACTGAATCGGATCATCAGCTCTGAAGAAGATGAAGGCGTTGAAACGTTAGCCGAAATAAATATCTTTATCAGCGTCGTGCAAGCTCAACAGTTTAAAAATGTGACGACTATATTGCAGTCATGACTCTTCTAGGGCCTGAAGAATACAAGTCTGCCGAAAGGTCAACTTTCTGTAAATAAACCGTGTAGTAACATGCTCAAGTGTGTTTATCAAGAAAGCGACGAATTACCGGAAACAATTTTACAAAATGATCTTCTCTTTAGAACTTATTGAGAACTTATTGCTATTGAAAACACCATTGGCTCCAACTTCTCTTTTATCACATATTTCTATGAACAATGCTTCTTCAATATCATAAACGGTGCTTAGTCTGCAGTATCTATTCTGTCGATCAGTCTGATGACATTACACCTACTTAACATCACGATACCAACGATACCTTTCTAGTCAATGGGACGAGACACTTCGTTGCACTGTTTTTGTAATGAATAGCTGATAGATAGCTCGCCAAACTCTGCCGTGGGAAGCTGATGCATTTACGGAATATTGTCGTCCTCACCTAAAGTAGACATGCAGCATATTTTTGGGAGCAACTTTGACTCAACTCTCGTGCATTGCCAGTAACTCGATTGCCTATTTTTGCCCAAATGATGTGCGTAGTATAACCCATATATACCTAAACAGCCGCACATGCATAGATGAATTACATTACACTACATTAGTACAGATGGTGTATGTTTCAAAAAGACAAGAGCAGTGGAGTACACCAGTCTACATGCTGGCTGTTAGCCAACGTTGAATCCTTCATCTTGAGTGTTTGGTGATATGCCACATAGCCTAGCAACTCGGCTGACGAAGAATCTTAAAAGAACACTTTTGTAGAACAAGAAATAAATAGATGAATAAAAAATCTACAACATGCTTCTCCACTAGGACTAACATGAAACACTCAGCATAGTTAAAGGGGCGCTAAGCGTGTCTCCCGTATTATACACTACAATATTGGATTAACAAATAGTTTTTGTAGCTTATCAAAAATTTTCTATCAACTTTTTATCACAGGGTAGTAAACGCGAACAAACGACATTTACTAGTTGAATAAAGATCTTA